GCGTCTCGCAGATTAAGAGCACTAATTCGCAAAACATTTATGATAATAAATATAGTCAATCCTGCAAGAGTCATCGAAGATCCAATAATAAAGGGCCTGTGGATGGGACCACCACCAGCAGCAATTCGGGCTGATGAGGAGGCGCAAATGTTAAAACATTACATGCGTGAACAAAAAAAAAAAAAGAGAAAGTATCGATAACTGCAATGAGACTTGAACTACCGACCTCACCAGTTCATGTGTAACTTTAACCAACTACGCCACAACTGCCGATCACTTTGCGAGGGCAAACAAGCCGGTTCTGTATAGTTGTCACGCTAAACCTAACAAGCATTTTTGTTCACTTTTTTGTTTGGACGTAATTTTAACTGCTTTTATTGTCATGTCTAGACGTACCGCTAGACACTCCCGACTATTCAAACAAAGCGCCTAGCCGAAAAATGCATAACGTCACTTCCGTGCGGTGCAGCAGCTCTTTCTGTCACATTCTGTGTGGGGTTGCTTGTGCACCGCGCGGTATAGCAGTCTCTGCCAAAATATTGCGAAGCTACATGATCCCCCCCCTCCCCCCCCCAATGTCATTAGCGCTTTATCTTTGTGATTTCATAGAATAAAATGAAGTTTAAAGCTTTGCAATGTGTACTGCAACATTTTTACACCTTCATCCCGGTGGTTTTAGCGAATATTTTCAAACCTATGCATGAACAAATGTACCTCTATATCATAAAAGTGAACTTTGAAATCGTTTTGCACAACACAAACACACCAGTCTTCAAAAAACCGCTCTCCACAAATAACTAGAAATATCAGGAACTTTTTTTCTCCAGAGAGGGAAAAAGTGGCTCCGCAGGTTGGCAGCACTGCTGTGAAGGCACAGTTTTTCCCACGATGATTTTTCCCCACAGAACACCTACCAGTTTCCCTTCTGCGAGTTGGTGGTGTGCACGGGTGGTGTGTGAGTGGTCGCGTTGTCGCCGGCAAATGCGCGCGCGTTTCTGTGTTGAACCAACGAGTATCCTATCTCGTTCGCCTTCCTAAAAGCTGTCGGCGAATCAGAATGTCAGGTGAAGCGAGTGAGAAGCTACTTACCATCGATGGCAGCGTTATGGAAGGCGTGAGTACCGACTGACGAAGATAGCCTCGCTCCAAAGTGTCAAATGAGAGTCACCTTATATGAGGGCTATCACTTGTAATGCGCTGTCTTGCAGCATTAGTACAGGCGGAATGACACTTGTCGAGAGCGCCCAGCAGGCCGTTTGAGCTGCCGCTTTCTGCAGAAATAGGCTAAAACCGACGCGCAGTGATGATTCTTTACCTATTAGTCGTACTTCATGCTAGGTCCTTGTGTTGCAATTCAAGCCACAACGTAAGCTTGCAGCTAACGTGAGGTAGCGGCTGCGAACAACAGCTTTTACAACCACGTGCTGTGCCGCTCATGGTTTCACTTTGTCCGTTCAGAAACGAAAGACTGGCATTTGCGCAGGTGTCATCGTCTCTGTCTGTCGTGCGCTATGTTTTGTGTGGAGTGCACTAAGTAGCCCTGAAACAGATGCTCATGGGCGTGCGAACAAGGGTGGGGGAGGAGAGCGGCTCCATGAACTTAGGAGGGCCAGAAACTCGGCCTCATACATGAGCTTCATAGTGAGCGGGGAGCGCTGGGAAGAACTTTCGCTTCCCCCTTTATGGGAACCCTGCGCACGCTTAGGCGCGTGCTACTGCTTTGTCCGTTGTGTAGCGCTTCTATATAGGAGTAGCAGGTTCTATGCGCAGACATCCTTCAATTGACAATGCCGGATGGCATTCGTTTTCAACATGAAGTGTTTCATACGACCGGGCCCACCAAGACAACAGTTACGTGTTTTCGTCACGAAAATGATGTTGAAAAAATCAACACGATCAGAAGGCAAAGAAAAAAAATCTATCAATGGGAGTTAAACCCACGACCCCTGGGATAGAGTGCCCGTCAACAGATGACGGGCACTCTATCCACTGCGCGACGGTCACACACACTGTAAGATTTAAATACATGTAACACTCTCGTCTCACAGTGCTTTTGGTAAAGTGAACTAATGCATCACGACAGTGTCATCCACCATTAGCTGCTTCAGTGCATTTTTTCTATTCGCCCATCTTATTCGGCACGTTTCCACTAGAAGTGCAGTTTATGTAGACGCCTTAACACATCACCAGGTGACAATCATAGCCCAAGCGTTGCCCTCGCTCATAGCGCTTACCCTTAAACAAAAAAAAGTTCTGTGACGTGTGCCTGCCTCGCCTGGCTGTAACTCCTCATTCCTTCTTATCTGAAAACCGTGAAAAATCGCGGCTGGCCAACAGGGAAGACATGACGCGCCGTGCGTTTCCCTCTGGTCAGGCAGTGGTGTTCAACAAGTTTTACGTTCCCCGAGTAGCTAACCTTAGTGCACGATCGGCGTCCAATCAGTGATGCTCTTCAGGCTGTCACGCTGCTTTCTCAAATTCCGATCTCACCATTAAAGTGGCCCTGCGTCGCCTTTTCTTCTGCATTCTGCTTAACTGGAGTCAATGTAGTGCCAAATACTGAGATGAATGCAAAAAGAAGGATAGAAATCCGCACATGGTGACAAAAGTCATTGGCCTTTAAACTTCAGAACTCTAGCAGAAGATCCGACAAAAAAATTTCTCTTTCGCATTTCACTCCCCACTGCAACAGGGCACTTCTAATATCATGTCTCCTACAACAGACATACTGGATGACTTGCTCGTGGTTGGCTGTTATGCAGCGTTCCTAGTGTCGTTTTGTGTATGTTTCACACTTTTCAAACGAGAATCTCTTTGCATCGTGAGGATGTATGAAGGGTGCCTTTTATAATATTTAGCACACCTATCAGAACCGTGTAAATATTATGTGTACTTGTTGCGTCATACCAGTCAAAATCACAGCCTATGTTGTCGCTCCCTCTTAGGGAAGCGTTGCTTTGGATCACAAATATAGCCGCAGCTGTGTCACTCTAGTTCAAAAAACAGTGTGGTTCTGTATGAAATAAAATCCTGACAGCTTTGTTTTTGGCATTGCTATGTGTTATAACGATATCGGTGTATTACACAGTTTTGAGAAGCGATGAAAACACGCTTAGTTTGTGTGAGGGCCACTTTAACTACGGCAGCTATCACAAGCATTTCTGACCACAACAAAGGTTTGTTTAATCATTGATCATGGACGCTAGTCATCAGAATGGAAATGTGGATGCATTTCGCATTAAATGGTGCTATAGCTGTCGCACATGAATGTACAGTATAGTCCACTGTTAGGGGAACACGCGAGCGCGTGGCCGGCGGTCCGTGGGGCGCCAACTGCTGGCGAGATTTGAGAATGCGGGGCATGGTGCTGAATCGCAAGGGCAGTACTTGCCTGCATCATCTGCTTCTTCCTTGCCTACGTTCGCGCGTGCTAGCGCCAAGGTGCTGTGCTCGCTCATCGACCATCGATTTTCATGTCTGTTATCAAAAGCGACTGTCCGGTTCGAACAGCATTTGGAAAGGCTTATAAGTACATTTTGGTGAGCACAGCACCAGGCCGCGCGAGTGATGGGCTTCATTATCACTTTCGCAGAATGCACAGCTGGGGCGTATTTACTCGCTGATCGCATTTTCGGCAGAGTAGTTCTTAGAAGCGGCATGGCTAGAGTACCTGAGGACGAAAGGCTTCAAATAGTGAGCTGTACACCAAAGAATAGAGCCAGCGGGCTGTCACTGCCGTCGCGAAAAGGCCACTTTCTCATCACCAGCGTAATCATCAGCATTACAAATGTAATTTTTAGTAGTGCCTAGTTCTGTCATGCATAGTTTTATTTTGCTTAGACAGATCTGCATTTTATTTTGTTTTCGCAGGGCACAGATGTGTTTCATTACCATTGCGTTATTCAAATGTTTCGAGGCTACAGATCTGAGCTCCCTCGGACCTGTTTGTTACAAAGGTTTTTAGGAATAAATTTCTTTTACTCCGTTCTGTTTTACGTACAGCACTTTTACAGCGCGCGTATTAGTGAAACCTAATGATTTTCAGAAAAGTGAATGCTATCACATATTCCGAATGAGGAGCTTCTAGCGTTTTCGCCTTCAATGTAGAAAAAAAACAACAACGAAATGTAACGTAAGTTATAACTAAACATATGCTGGGTATTGCAATCCTCAATATATATAATTTTGTGTCTCGCCGTAGTGGATGCATTAAAGTAATTCCAAACAAGTGTTTCCTAACCCTTTATCTAAATACTATAGGCACATGGCTTTTTTTTTGTATTTCGCTTCTATATTGAAGTAGGAATGCTGTGGCCATGAAATGGAATCGCAACAAGCTGCCGAAGAAGCACAACAACAAAAAAACGCACTTTTTTCTGCGCGCTGATTACCCGGGGAGGAGCCGGGAGAGTGGCAGGGACATGAATCGCACTGCGGAAAAAGCGAACGCGGTATCCAGTGCACTGCCAGCGCCGAAGCGGGAAGTAGCAGACAAAAACGCAACAAGCCCCACCCTTTCGCGCCTGTGCCCATGCGCGGTGTTTATAAATCTCGCCGCCAGTTCGTGCCATGCGGGCCGCCAGCCACGCGTTGCTGTGTTCCCTCTAAGAGTGCGAGCTTTCTTATGTCAACACACAGTAAATGTTCAACTTAGTTCGTAAGGACACGTTATAGTGATTCTATGACGACGGGATAGCAATGTTGTTCATTATATTTTTTTCTTAGGGAGGGCAGGTTCTGCGGATGGCCGTTGCGTTCAGTGCACTGTCCGAAAGCCAGTGCATGTAACTAACATACGAGCTGGGAGGAGCAACCGGGCCTCAGGTAATGGTACACTGTTTTAATTCTTAGCGCTGTCATAAGCACTCCAGCATCGTTTGTATACACAACTTGTTTGTGCTAGTTGTATCGACATGTGGCTAAAAGAGAGCATGCTCATTTCGCATAGTCAGCATCTCTTGACTTCAGCTGATTACTTTTTTGCGAAGGCACTCTAAAGTATGGACAGGTCGTTCGATGTGCTGCGTTCCAGAGCCAAGGTCAAAAGTATTAATTTTCATTTCTCGACATAAACGAACCCACTAACTAATTGTATAGACCAGTGAAGGCTATGATATCATTTTTTTTATGTCAAAATGGAACAGGACTGACTATAATCAAGTATTTAATACATGCTCATTGTAGTCACTCACAAGGAACTATACGTCATTTTTTTTTTTTTGGAATGAGTATGTAATTTGACACACATGTGCATCATGGTTCGCACCGGATTTGTGATTGCAGGCCACAGCATTTGACTGGTATAAACTTGGTGAGGGACATCTGTGGAGGCCGCCTGGTGAACGCCGTCATTGGTTCGACGGAGATTGAGTTGTACCCCGGTCCCATTCGGGGTGGCGTCTTCTCTGCCGACACTGGCACAGCTGGGTGAGTGTATCAATGGTGATGTTATAAACTGGGCACAGGGATTATAACTGCTTTTTCTCAGATATGTAAAGACTTCCAATTAATCAACACTGTTGAAATTTGAGCTTGCTGCAGCTACTAATGATGAAAAATAGTGCTTAGTGATTTCACACAATTCTGAAGAAGTCAGCTGTGCTTTCTGAGGTTAAGCAGCTCCCAAACGGTTGGCTAGCCTTTGTGATAAGAAGCACCAAACTGCATTTTTTTGTTGTTCAGTAGCACTTTATATGATATCCTGATTTCCCGTGGTGGTCAATATATCGCACAGAAAAGCTTTGCCACGTAGATAAATGGAACATTCAAACAATGTTAATATTGTCACGACTAAAGGCTGGGAAAGAAGACAGAGAACGATGAAGTGATGAGCATGGACAGCACCCACGGTTCCTCCGAGGAAGAAAAAGTCGAAGCGGCTGCTCTTTTGTTCTGTTAATACAGACCTCGTTTTTTCTGGTCGCACAGTCGTCCTGTATTCTGTTATTTTCACTAGCGACATGGTGGAGGTACTGGACTTCTCCAAGTGATGCTTGGGACAACTCCGCGCCCTAGCACATCCAGTCCACCACCGCAATTCGTTCCTGCAGTGGATACTCCTGTCCACCGCCTACAGTCGCCGACAACGAGGCCTTAGTCCCGAGGCGATCCCGCTCGAACTTCTCCAGCAACACACCGTACAGGAGAAATGGCTACCGGAGGGCCTTCACAGCTTACTGTTGATCAGCCTCTAATTCCGAGACCTTCCACGGTGAGGTTTATGAAGACGTCGAGGACTGGTTAGCCCAGTATGAGCTGAGTCGCCAAAGCCAACCGCTGGCCCACTGAACAAAGCTATCGCGCGGTCTACTTTGCTTTGGCAGACAGCGCTCGTACGTGGTACGAGAACCACGAGTCAACGCTGTCTTCGTGGGAGGAATTTCGGCAGCAAATTCTCGGGACATTCGCAAACATTGACCGCCGTGATTCTGCTCTGCAGCTCATCGAGGCACGCATACAGAAACCAAACGAGAGCGTCGCCCATGTTTGCGGAAGACATGGCCCGCATATTTCAGCGGGCCGACCCCGAGATGCCTGAAGGTAAAAAGCTCCGACATCTAATGAGGGCCGTCAAGGAAGAGCTGTTTGCCGGTCTCCTACGCAACCCCCAACAAGCGTAGTGGAATTCGTCAAAGAGGCTACAACAATCGAGCGAGCACTGCAGCAATGGCGCCGATACCATTACTAACCGATCAAACATCTCCCAGTCTCTCTGCTTTGAGTGCCGGTAGTGAGGGTTTCTCTGCGCGAACTCATTCGTGAGGTCGTTCGGGAGGAGATCCGAAACCTCCTTGTGACTCCGCAAGAAAATACCATGGCTTGCGTGCAGAAGTTGTGCGGCAAGAACTCCGCCAGGCATTTTCGTTGCCCGAATCGCCTTCAGACCAGCGGTCTGTGAGCTACGCATCAGCTGTCCGTCGACACACTCCAGTGTCCTACAACTCGTCACCACTGGCTTATCGTGACGTGAGCCAAGGGCCTTACAACGAGCCGTGGGCCCCAGCTCCCAATCCGCTGCAGCCGTATCCACAGTCCAACATGCCTATGCAAACGGCGCCGATGTACACTCCGCGACATCTGCATCTTGGTCGCAAGGTATGCCCACCAGCCGACCATTCATCCGTAAGACGGATTGTGGCGCACACCGTCGACCCGTCGACACTTTCTTTCATTGCGAAGAAGCCGGCATGTTTTCCGCAATTGCCCGTACCGTGACCGTAGACATCATAACTTTCTACACACCTCCCCTCGTGCCTATTTCGATAACCGCTGTGACAGCAGTGCAGGCCCGAAGCAGCACAGCAACCCGAAGTGCCGTATCGTCGACCCCCGCTCTCCCTTCACCTGCATCGAAACTCGCTGCCGCAGGGCAAGTTACTCCGAGGTGGTCTGGGGCAGATCTCCTAGCCCTCGTCGGGAAATAACAGCTGCGACCTTTGGGGGGAAGGTTGCCGGCCGTCGAGATGCTATCACACCCCCAACATCTTCTCTACGACGCGATACGACGGAATGATACCACGGATCGTACGGACGCACGATACCAAGGACGATACGACGTCACCGACATCAACGGAAATCGTAAGCGCCAATCTAGACATTTGTACAGACGGACGCCCAGTAACAGCACTGGTAGATACTGGTGCGGACTCTCTATTATAAGCCGTAAACTCGCTGACTGCCTAAAGAAAGTAAGAACAATATGGACGGGCCCAAACATTAGAACCGCAGGGGGCTCAATTGGTGACGCCGACGGGCAAATGTACAGGTCGAATTAATATCGGCAGTTCAGATTTCTGTCGCTACTTTTCGTAATTTTACCAGAGTGCTGCAAAGACCTGATCTTGGGCATGGACTTCTGCGTGAATACGGTGCCATTATCAACATTCCTGAGAGATCGGTTACGTTTCTGGATGGCCCCAGATCAAGTTTTGGATGTGCCCTTACAGACCAGCGACGTCAGCCTTCGCGCGTCTTCGACGACGACGTGACCATTCCACCGCGGTCGAGTGCGCTCGTGGCTGTGACATGTGACAAGTCGAGCGATTCTAAAACATCGCCGAGCAAATTCCAACACTGCTATTCAGCCATGGTTTTCTATCTCAAGAGGCGTCGTAAGCATAAAATGCGGACACACGCACGTCCTTGTTACGAACTTCAGCTCTGAACGCCGACATCTAACGAGGGGCATGGCAGGCGCGTACGTGGAAGAGCTCGCCGAGATCACAGACTGCCTAACTCTTGAAAAGATAACTCAACTGATCTGACCCCCGCACCTCTATCTGTTGATATTGGCCGAAGTTTGCTGCCGGCGCAGAAGCAAAGTATCATGCAGCTTATAAACAAGTTTGAAGATTGTTTCTCTTCGATTTCCAGGGTCCGTCAAACGCCGCTGACGAAATATCGAATTATAACGGACGACATGACCAGACCCATCAGGCAAAACCCGTACCGGGTAGCTCCGCGAGAACGTGAAGCCATCGAAAAGCAGGTGTGACAGATGCTTGAAGACGACGTTATTCAGCCGCCGAAAAGCCCTTGGCTTCGCCGGTTGTATTAGTGAAGAAAAAAGACGGCACCTTACGTTTCTGCGGGGATTACCGCAAGCTGAATCAGGTGACAAAAAAAAAAGACGTCTACCCACTTCCACGTATCGACGATTCACCGATGGACTACGCCACGCGCGTTATTCTCGTCGATGGATCTAAGGAGTGGGTATTGGCAGATAGAAGTCGATGAAGAGACCGGGAGGAAAACAGCTTTCGTGACACCTGATGGCCTCTTTGAATTTAAGGTACTTCCATTTGGCTTGTGCTCAGCACCGGCAATGTTTCAGCGGCTAATGGACACTGTACTATCAGGCCTCAAGTGGCAGACGTGCTTAGTGTATTTAGATGATGTCATCGTATTTTCTGCCTCATTCGACGAACACGTCAGGCGACTGCACTCAGTATTCTAACTATCCGTTCCGCCAGACTAACACTTAAGCCGGAAAAATGCCATTTCGGCTTCGAAGAGCTTCTGTTCCTGGGGCATCTTGTCAGTAGGGAAGGTGTGCGGCCTGACTCTGAAAAATAGCTGCCGTTACGAATTTTCCAGCGCCAACTGACAAAAAGGCGGTCAGACGGTTTTTAGGACTGTGTGCTTACTACCGACGCTTCATTGAGAACTTCTTGCGCATTGCCTCGCCGTGACCCGCCTTACCAGAGAAGACGTCGCATTCGTATGGAATGAAGAGCAGCAAAAATCGTTCGACGAGCTGCGGCATTGCCTTCAGAAGCCACCAGTCCTCGCACACTTTGATGATGACGCACCGACAACAGTGCACACCGATGCTAGCAATGTCTGCTTAGGAGCTGTACTCGTGCAGTGGCAGGATGGCGCCGAACGAGTAATAGCTTACGCGAGTAGAACTCTTTCACGTGCGGAAGAAAATTATTCCACTACGGAAAAAGAGTGCCTTGCGGTGGTGTGGGCGGTTATAAAATTTCGCCCATACCTGTATGGTCGTCCTTTTAATGTTGTCAGCGACCAATCACTCCCTCTGCTGGCTTACGAATTTTAAGAGACCTTTCAAGACGGTTGGCGCGCTGGAGCCTGAAGCTTCAAGAATTTGACATGACGGTGGTCTACAGATCGAGGAAGCGACATTCAGACGCTGATTGCTTTTCTCGTGCGCCATACGAACCTGTGACGGCAGAAGATGACGATACAGCCTTGTCGAAGTTGTAAACACGACAACTGTCGCCACAGCTGCAGCGAGACGACCCCGAACTAGAACCCATAATACGTTTTTTAGAGGGTCGCACTTCAGCTGTACCTAGACTGTTTGCGAGAGGGCTTTCGTCATTTTGCTTGCGCACGACGTCCTGTATAAGATGAACTTCACGCCACACGGAAACGGCTACTTACTCGTCGTCCCAACATCTCTAAGGAGCGAAGTATTACAGACATGCCACGATGAACCACATCCGGCCACCTGGGTTACACGCGTACGTTGTGCAGAGTGAGGCTAGAAATACTACTGGCCAAGACTGACGGCGACCGTTCAACACTATGTTCGGACGTGCCTTGATTGCCAGCGCAGGAAAGTTCCACCCGTTCAAACCAGCACGCCTCCTCCATCCTATTGACGTGCCTGTTACTCCATTCGCTCAAGTCGGAATGGATCTTTGGGCCCATTTCCAACCTCATCAGCAGGTCGCAGGATGGATTATAGTAGCCACCGACTACCTCACTCGTTACGCCGAAACCAAGGCTTTGGAGAGGGGCACGGCAAGTGAAGAAGCCCGATTTTTCGTAGAGAATGTGGTGCTGAGGCATGGTGCTCCATTAGTGGTAATAACTGACAGGGGAACTGCATTCGCAGCCAAACTATTACAGACAGTTTTAAAACTTAGTGGCACATCCCACCGGGGAACAACGGCGTA